TTTATAAACATTATTTGGTAAATGTTTCAATCGGTTTTCGTTGATCCAATTACACGAATATGAATCCTGATTGTCTATTTCTACATCTACAATTTCCAAAATCTAAATGAACGAATATCAACTTCCCCAGGAACAATAGAATAAACTGTACAATAAATGTCCGTAAACCTAGTGTTAAATTGATAAAAATATTCAAGATGATGGAAACATTTCAAAACCCTTTGACCTAATCGTATTTCACCTTAACGGAATCCTAAAGTGATGTACATATACATTATGGCATATATATTATTGAGTCTTCTACGTACGGTCCTGTAAAGTGTATTGCGATCTTCAGGTTGTAGTGTAAGTCTATAATGCTGCAGAATGTTAGAAAGGACGGCGGGATTGGCGGTACTCTGATTTCTAGAATGACTTGTCCTTCTAATGGAAACGGTCCTGAATTTGAATTCGACGTTATTTCAAATTGTTTAGTCCGGGTTTTCGAAGTAGCATGAAACTCTATTTTCTTGAAAAGTAAATTGTGGAACCATGATCATTCATTATTTAAAATCCCGATAGTCTCACTTACTGTTTCCAACTTCGCACTGATCTTCAATATTCGAACATTGTTTGACAAATTTTTGTAGTTCATAGTTGTGACAATCATTTGTCCAGGAACGTATCCAGAAGATGGCAGTTGCGTGGTTACACAAAAAGCGCCCATTTTAATGCAGAAGCAGCAGCAGAAATCTTTCAGAACTTCATTGGAAATTCCTAGCTGCTCGGTGCAGAGTATTTATTTAGCATTTTCAACTCACCATGTTTCCCAAGAATAAAATCATTTCTTACACATTTTTCCCGATGCAAGTTTAGGTCTAGATTGGAGATTACAGTAAACGCGGTTTTATATTTGTGATCGAATTTCCATGGCCTTTGGAGCACCAATTCAATCGTATATCGGACGTATCCTATATTGTGTTCGAAACTGCTGGGAATGTTAGAAGGAAGCAGAAATTCGAACGGATATTCATGGTATCCCTCAGTAATTTTAACCTTTGATTTCTCTTGAATATGTTAAAGAAAGCAATTTAAAATGCAAGAACATTTACTTGCATAAATAAATAAATTAATCAATTAGTTGGTAGAATAAATAAAGTAATTAATTAATTGGTAGAATAAATAAAGTAATTAAATAATTAATTGATAGAATAACTGAATAATAAATAAATCAACTGATTGAAAGAGTGAAAGTGGTTAATATTACCATCTTTGGATTTCAGTAAAATGCCCTTTATTTGAAAGTATTCTTGCGAATTATAATATGAGGAGGAGTTAGAATCTCCGTCTTCTTCTGTCCAATATACTTTGGCAAAACCTTTGGCAATGAAGCAGAGTTCTGCAATTGGAAATTATGTTATGAATAAAGTAGTCATTCTCGCTTTCTTTATCGTTTATTTAAATAAATTAATTTTATATTTTTTTTGCATTGTGCTACACGTACAACTTCGTTCGAAGTATATCGAAACTACGTTTGAAAATAACGCGATACATTGGCTTGTAACGCTAACAGTTTGATTGTTAGTTTGGGATAATAATAGGGTGGACAATTTTCACAACTACCTATTAAAAGTAAGTAATATTTGTAAAGTCTTTATTCACATTTAATGAACGTTTCAATTTGTATTATCTTCTTGTATCAAAATATGAAGGTCGTGTTTCTTTAATATAACATAATTTTTGTATCAAACATCTGATAAATGTTTATACATTTACAAAAATTAGAAATTATTTCATTCCGTTGTTAAAATATTTATGACTTACGATCTTATCTGTTTAACTAGATTTACTGATATAATCACTGATACAATGACGGAACTATCGGTACTTGGTGTGTTTGAAAAAAAAGTCACAGTAATTTAATTATTCAATAATATTGACAATACACATAATTACTTTAAATTCATTGCTGTACACTGTAATAAAAATTTTCCTGTAGAATCGTCAATTGAAAAGCTTGTACTTTTAAAATTAATTCTACTGTGTTATAAATTCTTCATAATTTTTTTGATACTTTTACACTGATGCACATTGTATTTTTTCTAAAAAAAAACCAGATCGTTCTTGAACACTATAAATAACACTATAAACACTTCATTTTATTCTGCGAACCATGTTTGAATGATTTCGCATCACAACGGATGTCGATTAGCTCCTCCTACGTGCAATTTAGATCTCTATTGCTTGAATCTCACCTGTGATATATTTTTCCTTCGTCGTGTCTATGATAACATTGCCTTTCACGATTTCACCACCCAAGTACGTGGCCTCTCGTCGTTCGAAATCTGCGCGAAATATCCGCAACGATGACATCGCGCACAAAACCATACCCAACTGCGGTCCGTGTCAGATTATTCCTATCGAGTGAATTTTTATCGGTTTGGTGAATCCCCGAGGAAGGTGAAACTGGGAAGAAATAATTTATTAAAGTTGTCGTTCACCTTCACTTCTAAACCGCGCCTGCGATGTCTGTGACTTCACTAGAACTCCACTATTGATTGTCGCTTTTATTTATCCTGTCCACCTTCTTGTTGTTTTCCTCATCTGTGAGCAGTCTGGCAGACTCCACAATGAGTCATACAACCACCCAGAATGGTAGGAATGACTAACATGGCAGAGGTTCTTCCTTATCGATACAATTTCTTTGAAAGTCTTTTATTGTTAAGTGAAATTGTTCAATGATGTTACAATACTGTAGGTATCATTTTTTTAGGTAGTTTTAGTGTAGAATTTGGTAAAATTAAGCGCATAAATTGAATGATTTATTTGATTGAATTACAGAAACTGCATTAGGAGATGTGGTTGATATTATATTATATTTCAGTTCGCAGTTTTATTTTTTTTTAATTTGGTCTATTGTTGATTCGGTATACAGGATTATTTCATTAGCAAACTATTCAGAGTACATTTTCAAGTCACAACAATCGATATTGTAGAATTCGCGGTTGCCTGACTGGCTAAGCGCGCTGGCATACAATTCTGCGTTCGTTTTGTAACAATACCAATTCTTGATGAACTGCTCCATTGTAACTTTATAGATGAAAATTATACGAATATATTAAATGAATACATTTTAGTTATGTAATTTATTACGGTGGAATAAGTTTGTTATTTTGTATCGAATTTCTTGTATTCATCAGCTGATAACAAATATGTTTTTCAATCATTGTTCACTTGTTGAGTTTTACTCTCTACACCCATAAACTTTGAAGTTAAATGTTTGCTTGGTGGGGAGAAATCTAAATACTTAAATTTGTAACTCTCGGCTGATCGCCAACAATAGTCTATGCCAACGAATACATACATTAATCTACGTGGACCTTTGTCTCTGTATGCTTCATTCGCGTCGTATTTAAATTAACGAGTTTTGGTTACGATCAACGAGCATTTAAGTGAATTCTTCGTGAACAAATCTTTTGATTAAAACATGTGTATACTTAGTAATTTTTTATCATTATGTTATGGGTTATATGCAAGTTAAAAACACAGTTTAATAGAAATTCTAACAAAAATTAATTTAACGTAATTCTAATGTAATATTAGAATTAAAATTCAGATGAAATCATCGATTTACCATTATGTTTTCATTTTTCTATAGTGCATTTCCTTATTCGCCAATTATTCAGTAATTCGATTCTGAATATGGTAAGAAATTAAAAATTATGTTTGTAAAATCCACTAATGACGAAGCAAATTTAAGTCTGCAGTTTATTGATTTACATATTTTCTATAAAAATGCGTTCTTGTGTAAATATTCATATTCTACAATATCATCTCAATTTCTCAAATGTAACACATTATTGCCTCCTCTTCACATACTCGTTAATTAGGCAATCTAATACGTTAACAGATGAATATAATGCTCTGAACTAAATTAATATAGATTTCGTATTACATGTCAGTAATAGATAATACCTACTGAAATTTTACTAGTTTGCTTTTCGATAAGGAAACTCATTTAATCTATTGAACTTTATTTATTTCATATGTAATTATTCAGCATTTGGGATTATTTACCCCTCTACGATTTTTTCTGAAACTCCGAAAACTCTAAAAATTATATTCCTGTTCCAATAAAAATGTATAAATGTCTATTTCAGACTTTTCGTATCTATTATTATTTATAGACCAATCCTGAATAGTTAGCACGCCAATCATACTTTTAATTTAAAAAGCACTGTGGTATACTCATACTCAAAATCGTAGGTAACCGTATACTATAGAAAATCACGAATAACATTTAATGTCCTAAGAACAATGAAGTATCAATTTTCAGTTCTCCTATTAACGGTATCACGTTATCTCTGGATTACATCCAGATTGAGGGGAGTGTGTGCTGGACACGTTTACCTGTTGGACGCGTTTGTCAAAGTTCGACCGCAAGCTCCCATCATGTCGCGATAGTTCTCGTAACGTAAATTCGAACGCAATCTCTGTTAGAGTTTACAATAGCGTCGTAAACCATCGATTACCATGAAGAGAACTCCGTCATCGTAGCAAATGTCTGCGGTTTTACATAGGAATCCAATTTCCCTTGGGGGTAACACGTCGTCGTGCGTCTTTGCATTCGGGATTAGATACCTTTGATGAATGTTCAGAATATAGAATATAGAGTCGAGATATTTTTATGAAACAACTTGTTCTTACCAGTGAATAGTTTTTTAACATGTTACCTGACACGAAAATTTTGAGCATTTTCTATAGTAATATCTATTCTTTCATAACCATAGCAAATGCTGTTAAAAATAATTATTAATGATTTGGCATCACAGTACTCATATTATGCTATTATCTAGTTACTTATGTTACTAAATGTTTTTATTCGACATTCATTTTCTTATTGTAATTGTTCTTAAGCAATTTAGAAGCTCCGAACATCGATGATCATCGCGGCAGTCACATGTTAAGGGACAGTCTCGTGAAATTTTCAGGATTCTTTTCATGAAGGGTTTGGAGATTTTCGTTATTGTCATTTCGATTAAGAAGCTGAGAATTTGTTCGTATGATCTGTTTTATTCCTCATTAATAGTTATTATTGAAATCTGTTTGTCAAATACCAATAAATTATTGACAGTGACATGCAATAATTTCGTCGCATATCATTGCAAAAGGAACGGTAAAGTAAATGATTAAGAATGTTGTTTAATTCGCATATGTAAATACATGGATATTATTTAATTTAGTATTATGAAATCATTAGCAGTCTGAAATTAATGGGAAACACTTGAAATTCTATTGAATATTTCAAGTAGAAAGTTAATACAATTCGTTGAATCAATATTATGGCTTGCCGTCATCACTAAACTGCAGATTTTATACGTTTACAGGTTCGGATAATTTGCATAATAAACTCGGGTGAGAATCTCGCGTGTTGTTTAATCGAGTATTCATTTGAAATATTTATTTTCCTGTTTTAAAATATTTGATACCAGAAATAATGTTTTGTATTGTAAGCATTGCTGAAATGCTTATTGATTTTATTCGAATAATGTCAAAATTGCATTCAAATATTGCAAATTACTGTAATCACGGTAAGTGAGTTTGCATAAACATCTGTAGTCCAATAGTTATTTACAGTTAATTCTAGTTCCATTAAGCTGCGCAGCGGCAAAATAAAATGAAAAGACCAACTTTAGTAAATGTATTTTGATTCATTGGCATAGAGTAACTGGACTCATGATGTATTAACTAATAAAACTAAATAATAATCAATATGAATAGGTTATAGTTTCAATTTTTATTTGAGCTTATGTCTCTTAATATATTTTTAAACAGATACCTATTTAATAATATATTAGATCAGTCCATAAGTTGAGTTATATGCATAATTCATTTTTTCGTCACAGAGTCCATTTATAGAAATAAAAGAAGGAAATTGATTGGAAAATGGTAAGATATTGTAAATAATCAAGGTAAATAACATTACTGATGAAAATAACAAAATGTATTTTCATTGTTTCAAAATTCCTCAAAAAATACTCACCAACTAATAGACTGACTTGATATTTCTATAGTTCAGAATCTTAACCCTTTACCCTATGATTTATTTCTTAACTATGATCGATACAACATATTTTATCATTAATAATTTCTTAAGAAAAGAAACAATTTGAATGCTTATTCTATGTCTATGTTTATTCCGAAAGTTAACAAATAATAATAGACAAGTAATATTTAATTTATATTTACAAAAGTAAACGACACTCAGATTTCTCTAATTCAGTTTAAAATTTCCGTCACGAGTCTAACATAATATTGTAGGTCAAGGGGTTAGCGTCACGAAAAATTATTTAGCCTACCCATAGCAGTGTTAAAATAAATGCCACGGAACAAAAAGTAAAAGCCCCGAATGATAGAAACGGGAAGACTGTTGGTGCATTCTTTTCATAAAATTTGGAATCGTGACACTTTTCTAAATCCAAAGAAAATCTAGTCTCAGGTGACTATTCTGGGTGGCCGATGAAATGCGGAAGGAACATGATTGCGAAATGGTTCGAATTGATAAAAAGGCACGTGCAAAGAGAAGGAAAACCCCGGGGACGCCGGCGAGGTGGGAGGTTGAGCAGGGTGAAATTCGTGGCGGGGGTTGCATTGACGACGGATACGCTCCAACCCTTCAGTAACGCGCGAGCCTCCGCCGAGGAAGCACTCCGGTTTCTACCCTTTCGTTTCGGATGTAAATACCGTCGTTGCGCCACCAAATTTTCGCCAAGTGTTACCATTTACGCATCAATGGTCATTATTACTGTGCACACCATGGATTTCCTTCTTCCAGAATCGTCTGGTTAAGGGTAGAAAAGCTACCAGCAAAGAAACAAAGCGATGTTTCTTCTTACTCTGTTGCGATCAACAGGTTAATTCTTCGCAGGCGAACTGTAAGTACAAGATTTTTCATTCTTCTTCTTTGACGGGTTATTCTTTTTGAATTTTCGTATGAAATTCTTAATTTGCATTGATCGATGTCTGGTGGACATTAATTAGGAGATGTCTTATGTATTGGATTGATGTAGAACTTTTAACAGACCTTTATATGAGGATTGCATGTATTTTATTTTACACAAAAACAAATTTTATTAAATAATATGTTTCGATGGTTATTTACCATCTTTTTTAACATTTTCCCTAAGATATATTCTCAGAAGTAAACTTTGAATGCAGACAGAAAGATGTTTGATGGGAATTGGCTGTCTTTACTGATAATAGTAATCAAATGTTAACTTGATAAACATCCGCAAGGTGTTATCGGTCAATCCAATATATTCGCTGATCAATCAAGACAGTCACACTGTGTATATATAATATTACATATAAGTGGTGTTTAATGAAAAATATAATGGTTTTTAATTTATACTTCGCACAATCTGGTCCGGTAATTTATGTGAAATAGATTTTTTATGGAAATAGTAATTTCTTTAAATAACATTTGAAATTTATATATAATGTGGATCTTTCTATAATTGGCTATATAATTCAGATATAAAATTGTAACACTCGCTTTGAGTATCGAACCTTTCTTTGTGTCTGAATCCTTTCATTGTTCAGACGTACAAGCGAATAAATTATATTTCGAAATAACTGAGTGAAATTAAATTCCTGGAATACAGAATATGTTCGTTGCACGCGGTCCTTTTGAGATGTTTGTTTTTCAAAAAGAATGATTGCCCTTTCGAATCTTCCCGTTTCTTTGCATTTGTCTTTCGTATGAGTAAGGAAGGCTCGATCGCAGAGAAATTGTGACTTTGTGAAGTTCGAACCATAAGCTAGG